ATTTATATTCTCACTATGAAGATTATGGGATGTCAGTTGCCTTACTTTCTTTTCAACACCAGGTATTGCCAGTCTTCTTAGTTTTAGCCCTTCTAGTGAATCGTAGTGATATCTTATTCGAGTTTTAATTCATATTGCCTAGTGATTAATAAGATTCAGCGCATTTTCATGTTTATTGACCATTTGGATATTTTCTTTGTGAGGGGCCTGTCCAAATCCCTTGCTGACTGTCTCAGATAATTTTTTTTCTTTTTTTATCTAAAGATGATGTAATTGTGTACATACAAAATACAAAAGGACGTAGAAACTATTGAAATTTTAAAATAAATTTAACAATGTCACTGAAAAAAAGATCAATATTAAAATCAATCACATCTTTTTACAATAGCAATAAAAATTGGAAATTGCCATTTCAAAATGATACGAAGATAAGAAGATAAAAAGTCTACTACTGAGAAATTGTCAGAGCCTGGAGGTGCCTAAGGCAACACGGAAATTAAAGGTAATGTGCCATTCTAAATGGCATCCCTGGACTGAAAAACAATTTTGGGTCAAAACTGAGGCAATCTGGGAATTCCCTTGAGTTTCACTGACTGGGAATACATGCTTTTACTGCAGGATGCTGCTTGGATCCCTGGTTGGGGAACTATTTAATAAGATGTCACAAGTCTCGCAGTCATAAATAAATAAAAATGAAATTCCTGCAACCAGTGGGGCTGGGTGGGTAGGTATAAGGACATCTGAATAAAGTGTAGATTTAAGTTTTTTTAAAAAAATAGCTTTGACAGGACAACTTCTCTTTACCTGTGACCTCTAAGTACAAGTCTATAATTGCACTTTTGACTCAAATTAGATAGCCAGAAAAAATAACAGTTTCTTTCTCTATCATTGAGACAGGATGTTTTAAATCTTGATCATTAATGAGGTTAAGCAACTTCTGTCTTTGTAAGTGAGCAAGGGACATGTAAGCGTGTGATGAGGTAGTAAGTCTCAGTGAGAAGGGAAATCAGAGCGTGCAATAGGAGACTGTCAAGGCCACCTCCTCCTGAGAAACACAGTCACTTAGTGAACGAACATTTACTTAGCAAACATGTCCTCACCACATCATAAAGTAAAACAAATATTGCCATTTTCTTGGACTATTTTAAAACTATCTCAATAAATTTTTGGTTCTGGCTTGCTTATATGTCTTGCACATTCTCTCTGAGATTCATTGCAATATATTTATGCTTTCTTATTGTTGCAAGTATGAATGAAATCTTTTCATGACATTTGCTAATTTTTAATGAACTAAGTTTTCCTTGCATTTTCATACACACATGCTTATGAGAATGACTAATTTAGGTTTCTTTCTCTGATCAGCTTTGCAAACATTGTATAAAAGTTTGGTTGATTTTTCAAATTTCTAGATAAACAAATACATTGCCTGCAAATAAAGAAAATAAGGTCTGATAATAGCAATGTGATGACCATATTGGAGCAACTCCTGTTTGTTGTGTATATTTGTACAACTACTTTCAAAAACATTACCTAGCAATGCTGAAAATATGCTTAACCTATGGCCTATGACCCAGTCATATATGGGTGTAAGAGCTGGACCATAAAGAAGGTTGAACACTGAAGAATTGATGCTTCTGAACTGTGGTGTTGGAGAAGACTCTGGAGAGTCCCTTGAACTGCAGGGAGATCAAACCAGTCAATCCTAAAGGAAATCAACCCTGAACTTCATTAGAAGGACTGACGCTGAAACTGAAACTGCAATCCTTTAATGAGCTGACTTATTAGAAAAGACCCTGATGCTAGGAAGGACCGAAGGCAGGAGAGTGGGACGACAGAGGACACGATGGTTGGATGACATCTCTGATTCAATGGACATGAGTTTGAGCATGCTCTGGGAGACGGTGAAGGACTGGGAAGTCCTGTTGCAGATCATTGGGGTCACAAAGAATCGGACATGAGTGAGCGACTGAACAAGAACCTGACCCAGTAAGTCCACTCTTAGCAGTTATCCTGGGAAAGAATCATGTAAATATGCACCAGTATAGATGTAAAGAAAATTCAGATCAGCAATATTCATAAGAGTCCCAAATTAGTTGCAGCCCAAATACCCGTTAAAATTGCATAAATACTTTATCTATCCTGATAATAGGATTATTAATAACAATAAAAAGTAAGACCCACAACTAAATACACAAATATAGCAGTGATTGGAAGATACTCACCTCAGAAGAAAATGTATACTACTTATATAAATTTAAAAATAGGCCAAACTAGACTGGAGACATTTTGCTCGGCAACCTAGAGAGCACCTGTGAAGCTTCAGGACCACGATGGGAAGTCCGTCTCCTGCTTGAGGGAAGAGCATGTCTTCCCACCTTGCAGCTGGGGCCCGGCTCTCACCCTCTCGCAGCACCTGAGGCTGACTCTGCCCAGGCCGGGGTTGCCCTGTGCTCACAGCCGACAGCTGGGGGCCAGCGCCCCTCCTCAGCCTCCCACCGGGTGTGGAGAGGGACAATGTGCAGAGAGACCTAAGTGCCCCTGACTGCAGCCTCTCCTCCCTTTCCTCACACTGAGGACATCATTCACAGGCCGTGGACAATGCTCATCGCCCCGTGTGTCTCCTGCTCACTTCAGATGCAGCTGGGACTAGGTGTTTTGGTTGGGGCCTTGGCTAACTCTCCTAACTCCTCTAGGAGGTATCCAACCAGAGGATCCTACACTCTGCACCCCTGTCACTCTCAGAACGCTCCCATCAGAGGGTGGATGGCCCAGGAACAGGCAGGAGCAGCCCATGCCTTGTTTTCAGTGTTTGCTGCCTGGACCCGCTGCTGCTGCTAACTCAGACTGACCCTTTCAGAACATGCCCGTCTGCATCAAGCCTGCATTTACTTTTCCCTTCTGATTCCAAGTTGTTCTCTGAGCTGGACTCTGAATTATCAGAATCACTATCAGAGGTGCATTGAGTCATGCCAACCTAAGGTTGGGAAAACAGTGAAAAGGACAACACATTGGCTGCAGCTGTTGAACAAATCTCAGCAGGCCCCTGCTGCACCCAGCTGACATGAGGGCACATCTCACTGTGTGAGTTCTGGGTGAGTTTCCTGTCTCTGAGGCAGTTTCCAATCTTCTTTAAGGTGAAACAGCCCAAAGCAAAGCCTCCTACATACTTAAAGCTGACCAGTGACTTGAGTTTTGTTACATCATCAGAGATTGTGTAATGAACGCCAGAAGGCAAAAATAGCAATGAAGCTGATGCAACAAGTGAAAAGGAAACTAAGTGCAAGCTGCCAAATGGGATTTCAGGATCCAGGCTGGGAATCCCCTCTGGCCCAATCTCCTGGCTGGGTTGAGAGCACAGCGCAGGGCATCCTCCTGACTGCCTCCCAGACGCCTGTATCCTCCTGGCTGAAACTCTGAGCTCCTAAACTCCAGGGAGAACCAAGAATCCAGTGAGGGCGGGGGTGAGTCCTTGTAGACAGCTGGGCCATGTGCCACGTAGGAATGTTTCCGTCTAGAACTCTGGGTGTTGTTGCAACAGGCTTGGCCTCGTCATCCCAGTGAATGGCTATTTCTCTTCTCGCTGTGCAGTGGGTGAGCTGCAGGGATCTGTCTCTGAACAGCTCTCTGGGAACTGCCTCATCTTCCTGACCACAGACCCACAACGTCAGGAAATAATCTTCTAACCAGATTCAAGTAGAAGAGTTAACGTAAGGAGCACTTGGGAAGTGTCTGGTACCATTCTGAGCATGTGCTACAAATTCAAGCAATTAATCTTACCACACTTTCAAGAGGAGATTTTATGAGTATCTTAGTTTTGCAGTTAAGAGATAATGCAGCAATTTATAACTAGGCAATCTATTTTTATGTACTAATGAAGAAAAATCGTAAAGATCTATTTGCAAGTAAATATAAATAAATGAGAAACTGAAGTAGATGAAAAATTGATATTTATGTGATACTCATTAGTATGTCCATATGTATAGATTTGTTAACTACATATAGAAATGTCTAGAAGGATACCCATTAAATTGTTAACAGTATAGGATTAGGGTGCATCCTCCTAGATGTCAAGGGTAAGCATTCCTTTGTGTGAATTATTTAAAAGTTTAGCAATGACATGTGTGTTTCATATATATAGATAAGCTTTAGAAACCCTCTTTACTTCTTTAGAGTCACATTTATCATGGCAGCTGCTGGTTCTCACATCTCTGAGGTGTCTCTGCAATCCACAGCCTGCCTTGTTCTTCTTGCCTCCATTTGAACAGTTTAGGGAGACTCTTTTCTTAGGAGTGGCCAAGTATGGAAAACTTACTCTCCCTTCCACATCCTACTCCAGAATCCTAGATTCCACATATGCAGATTGACCTCCCATGATATATGTGGTTCTCCATTAATCCTTGAAGGCGCTCCAGTTCCTGTAGGCCCCAAGGAGGCAACTGTGTCCATTACCTGAGCTTTTCTCCACTCATCTCCCTCCTACCTCTAATCTATGTCTCAAGAATCACATTCAATCCATCCTCAAAATGTCACCAAAAGTGGGTAACCACATTCGTTCTTTATTCACGTGACTTCACTATAGGTTTATCTTGCAGGATCATGTTTGGGTTAGATTTTAGTCAAAGGTGTGTGCAAGTCAATTTGTTTGTTTCAAATTACTTATATTTTTCTACTGAGAAACAAGAGTAGTCTTATACAATATATTTCAAAGCAAATATCTTATGAATGATAAAGATTTAAATGCTATGAAGGGCCTAAATATTTCTGATAATTTAAATAAATAAATAAATATTGCAACTTTTTAATATATGGAAAATGGATTCTGAAATCTGTTTTAAACAGTTACGGTAATGAAACATTTAATGTATATTTAAATAATGCCATATATTAGCTATCACTTATATTTCATCTGACACAAAAATAGAGTTAAAGGTTGCACTTTAAGTCTTAGAAAATAGCCATTTAGTTGACGAGATGAACTGTTTTCAGATTCAACGTCTTGGTTATTTCCTCAGTTTTCCGATGAGCTTGTTGGCGAAAACCAAGCACCTTCTGATTTCCATGCTGACAACCTCCCAGGCACAGCGGCTGTATTCTTTCTCTTTGAGGTACAGACTAATTCGCTGGAAGTAACTCTTCACAGCCAATCTGGAGTTCTCACTCCCTAGAGGTGACTGTTCCATCATCCTTCCCTCCCTCAGACACGTGTCCAGCTCCTCCAGCTGCTGATCAAGTCCCACGAGGAATCTGTCCAGGAGGCTCTCCTCCCGACCCATAGAAGAGCCTGTGGTGCTGAAGAGCTGGAAGGTCAGCTGGAGCAACTCATTCACAGCAGCTGTGGCTTCTGTCTTCTCAAGCCTGGTCCCGTCCACCAGGGTCTGAGGAAACCTGAAGTCAGTCCTGTCCCTCAGACAGGACACGATGCACACTCTCTCCATCTGACTCCAACGTGCGAAGCTTTCCAGATTGCCGCGGCTAGCAGGCAGCTCGCAGCCCAGGGTCCACGCGGGGCTGGAGCAGAGCATCCCCAGGGCCAGTACAGAGATGAGAAGGGCCACAGGGACGCTGGGGGCTCTGCAGGGCTGCCTGGAGGGAGGTCTAGGCAAGTTCTGAGGACTTGGGGTGATGGGCAGCTCTTAAAGACTGAGAAGAGGAACTTTCCTTTTCTGGGTTTTTCTGCATTTTGCCCATTCCTTGATTTATCTACTCTTTGTAATGAAATGAATTATAAATGCTAATTTTTGCCATGAGTGCCTGGCGTGGGGGACATCAAATCATGCGTTCTACTGTGGTTGATAGCTACAGAGCCATATATTATGCTTCTCACACCTGTTAGTTGTTCCTGGGGAGAAGAGTCTGGTCAAAGTCAGAGAAGGCAGAAATATTCATACAATATATATATGGTGGCTTTTACAGGTCACCAAGAAATATTCAGTATAAAAAGACCTTATAAAAGGAAAATTTTGATTTCTCTCATTTTTTTTATTTACCCTTTTCTCCCTTCTTCAAAAAATAATCATATGTGTATGTACCTTTCCAATATCACCTGAGTTGGCCTTAAGCTCACTGGAGACATAGGGAACAGAATCACTGATATCATTTGTTAAAAATGAATTATGTTGCAACTATAATCTGCAAGGTACTTTTTAAGGTGCTGATTGTCCTAAAAAATTCAAGTTTACCTTGTTTATTTCTCTTTCTTCTCTACCACTACAATATTTCACAGGAAACTTTGCTTTAGTCACTGTGTGATAATACAGATAAACTCATCTCCTTAGATATTTCACTGGGAAGTGATAACCTACCACACACTCAGGGACACTGAGGTTGCAATTATATTCAAACCTTGTAATGACATGTCTTTACCAATTCTGTAAGGTACAGATAATTTTTAAGAATATTAATGGCAGAAGATTTTAAAGGCAGCCTCTCAGCCAACTATTGTTAATAAACATTTCATTAATTTTCACAGCTTCCCTATGAAATAATTACTATAATTATTGACATGTTTGCAAATAAGGAAACTGAAACTCAGAGAGATTACTTAACTTGCTAACAGTCAGGATTACCTGCATAAGTGGTACTTGACCACTAAACTATTCTGCCTCCATGTTATTCCTCATTAACCTTAGGCATGCTCCTTTAGCTACACTGCATACAATTGTACTTAAGTAATCCATCTAACTATGTAACATTTGACTGCCCTGAGAGACTGTAAGCTCCCTAAAGGCAGTAATGCCACGTGTGGAGTATCAGCAAGATGTCTGTCCCAGAGGAAGTGCTCGGAGGGTTCTCTGTCCCATTGTTGTTCGTCACTGAGGCACGTCCGACTCTCTTTGATCCCATGGACTACGGCACACCAGCCTTCCCTGTCCTTCTCTATCAGTCAGAGTTTGCTCAAATTCATGTCCATTCAGTCAGTGATCACATCATCTCATCCTCTGTCGCCCCCTTCTCATCCTGCCCTCAATCTTTCCCAGGACCAGGGTCTTTTCCAATGAGTAGGCCCTTCCCATCAGGTGGCCAAAGTATTGAAGCTTCAGCTCTGTCCCAGAGCCAGTTCTAACAGAACTATACACACAAAAATTTTAGTAGACTTAGTATTGGAAGACTGTTTCGGAAAATGATAATCTTCTGAAAACATAGATAGTAAGAGTAATTTAAATGGATTTTTTAACTTTCTGGCTAATTTCTCAAGATATTACCTCAGATGAGAACAGGGCCTCTCAAAGTTGTTGCTGAATTGCCATAGTCAGTCAGGCTCCTCCTGTAGATCTCAGCCAAAAACCATTTCCGATGTAGGACTGGAAATTACCAAGTTCAAAGGGAACTGTGTACTCTTCATTTGTAGTGTAAAGATTGTAACGTCCCTGGAATGAGTGAATGGCACTTCTGTGACAAAGAATAGGAATTGGAGAGGAAGAACTTTCTAAGTATCCTTCCATGATAGGAAGCACATAGTCAGAGGAGCCAGCTCAGTCCAGAGCTTTAGACAGTGGATATGGGGGCAAGATTGTCTGGTTTGATGTCACAGCTCCAGCCTGCACTGGCTATGTGACCTTCAGCACTCCGGTTTTCTCCTTTTATATGGAACTGATAATCAAGTCTGTTCCACTGGCTAGTTGTGAAGACTGTAGGATGTAACGTACTTCGGACAATGCCTGGATGTCTAAGCATTCAGTATCTGTTAGCTGTTCCCACGAGGCAGAAAATTCACACATCCAACTATGGAAACTGGATAGAGTTTCACTGAGATGACCTGCTTCCCATCCTTTAATTCTCAGCTCACTTGTCAAAATTATTATATCTAATCTCATCTCTTGCGTGAACATATTGGCCTCTCCAAATCACTAACAGCTAGTAGCTTCTAGGTAACAGCTGACCTCTCACATGGGAATAAAATGACCATCCAGTCTGTACCCCAGTCTCTTTTCACAAGTTAATAGTTTACATCCTCAGAATCCAATAACGTCCATGAAGAGTGAGTAATGTAAACAGACAAATAAAGATAAATAAATATATGCTGGGATTTAGCAAATTGACAACTAGCCTCTTAGGTAACACTCTGCCTAGAACCTGCTACCCTCCTCTGGCTCTGTCTGCAGCTAAACAATCTCACATGGGGTGTTCTGAAATCTGCCACTCTGTGGAGCTCTTCATCCCCATTTGTGTAGTTAAGTGACATTTTGTCATTTGGACAGAGAAGAGGTCAGTATAGTTTTGTCAATTACACCGTTTACTTTCCTTTTACCTTTGTGCATGAATTTTTCATGAACTGCTTATTTGTTCCTTCCAGGAATGCTCTATGAGAGGGGAAAGTTTTGATCTCTTGAAAATTCACAGAGGAAATACATTACCTCTTCTTTTCATTTACGTTTTCTGTTCCTTTTTTTTTTGCAGCAAACCTCAAAGTAGAAATAGAAATGATTGCAGGAGCATTAGCACAGCTTTTACAAACTGATATACAAAGAAGCGGTAGCAATACGAAAATTATACAAAAGTACCAGAGAAAAAGTGGGTTGCTTGGACATGGCAAGGACGATGGCCTGGGCTAAAACAGGGGGTCAAAAAGCAGCAAAGACACATTCTAACCACTTGCACACTTGGACGGGAGTGGCGGTTATACTTTATTTTCACGAGAGTGACTTTGGAGGATTAATCATCTTGGTATAGGCTTAGTTTGTAACCAGGGAGGGTTACTTTTGAATTTACACTGGACCTGCTTCTGTGACTTTAACTCTCTGTGTTATTGTAAACATACCTAATGGCCTGCCTCAGGGAGATAACCTGACACCGCTCACCTGTGAAGGACTGTGACTCTGTGTGTGGCAACGGCACAGGCGGCCTACTTGGCTACTTACCAGGTGGCCCAGAAATTCACATTTGGGAAGGGCAGAATCACAGATAGGTGTGACATCTTTGTGTGTTTTCATGACATGAGATATTCCATTTCACACTACCCATGAAATGACTATAAGGAAGTGCAACTAACACGTCCCCCTACCTGAGGCTTGCTTGCCATTCTGGGAGTTATCTGCAGGAATGTGAAGGTCTTTTTGCTTTGTTTCCTCACCTCCCCTCACCTCGGATTCATAAAAGAATCTGACATCCGGGTCCAGACAAGATGGTTATTTTGAGGCTCTAGTCTTCCATCTTTTCAGTCCACCCATTCCCGAATAAAGTCCCTTCCTATCCCCAAACCTCATCTTGGATTCATTAATTTATCTTGTGGCAAGCAGAGCAACTTGGACTCTGTAACAAATTCAGCACATTGATTGGTACTTAATGAGTGCTTAGTAATTTTCTCAATTATGGAGAGTAAATAAATCCAAATTTGACAAATTAAAAGTTTTGCCACAGAGAATAAGGTGAGGTGCATGCATGTAAACCTCAGGTTTCTTTCACATCTCGTCAGCTCTTTCAAAAGGAATATGGAGAGGCAGGCAAAAGAAGATATTAAAAAAAGTCTAACAAAGTTTCCTTAAAAATTAATTGTAGCATCAGGAAGAAAGATCCAGTAACTCTTAATATATCATTAGTTCAAAGTTGTTGAGATGACAAGCATTCCATTGAATTAGAAAATCTACTTTTTTAATGAATACGTTTTACTTCGACTGTAAGGATACAGAAGTGTAGAAACTCATGACAGCTTTCCAGGCCTTTGAAGTGAAAGGCAAGGCCAAAATGAGGTGATACATGGATCTGGGTAAATTCAGAATATGAAAATTTGGTGGCTTAGTATTTAAGAAGCACATAGTAGGATATCTTTAGATGACGGTGAAACAAAGCTCGCAATCGATCTACTCAACCGGAATGCTTCCTTGTGGTACTGAGCAATGGTTCTTCATCTCTTCAATGATGACACTGATGATGCTCGTCTCTAACCCCATCTCCTCCTCTGAGTCCATGACTGCCTCAGAGCCTTGACTTGGAAAAGCAGGAGACCTTCCCATTTGAATCAAATAAGCACAATCTCTCTCTTTCCTGTCTGGGGTACAGGGGAGTCTTCAGATTCCCCCAGGAGATGGTGGAGGGCGGCCAGCTGCAGGAGGCCCAGGCCATCTCTGTGCTCCACGAGATGCTCCAGCAGAGCTTCAACCTCTTCCACACAGAGCGCTCCTCTGCTGCCTGGGACACCACCCTGCTGGAGCAGCTCCGCACTGGACTCCATCAGCAGCTGGACGCCCTGGATGCCTGCCTGGGGCAGGTGATGGGAGAGGAAGACTCTGCCCTGGGAAGAACGGGCCCCACGCTGGCCGTGAAGAGGTACTTCCAGGGAATCCATGTCTACCTGAGAAAGAAGGGATACAGTGACTGCGCCTGGGAAACTGTCAGAGTGGAAATCACGAGGCGCTTTCTGTGTTAACAGGCTCCTAGAAAACTCAGGAAGTAAGAAGAAACCTGATTCTCAGTGACTCATGTCCTAGCTCAGACTCTTCATTGTTCAGTCATTTCCAAAACTCTGGTTTCTGCCTCAGCTATGAAATAGTTTGAGGGACTTTTGGTATCGGCACTAAGGTTGAGCATATCGACATCCAACTGCTTTTAGAATTAGAGGAAATATATCTGATGCCTTGTGGCTGAATCTTATTGAATAACATGTTTTTGTATGAATGTAATTCAGTTTTACATTGACTTATTTTATGGGTCTTGCATTTATATGTTCTATTTATAACATAAAAATAGATCATTTTCTTTCATACAAATGTACCTTTATTTTCCTCATGACATTTATTTGAAGACATGTGTCTTCCTCTTCCTTTTGACACTTTCCCCAATGTCCTAACGCTGTAAACTACATATAGAAAGATGTCGTGCAGTTCATTCCTTTATCTGCTGGCCTTGTGGAGAGAGTCTTGAGTGTGAGAGGCAGAGGCCCTGACCTTACAGAGCTCACACCGGAGCAAGGACATTGCCATGAAAGAAGTAGGTGTAAGGTCATCAGGTATTTACACATGGGCCCTGGGGTCCAGAGGAGAAGTAACAGATGCTGATGGCAGGGAGTATCCTGGGAAGCTCCTTGAGACCACCTTCAGTCTCCCCAGGGAAGCAATCTGAAGTATGAGACATGAAGAATGAGTAGGAATTTGTCAGGTAACTCATGAAGAGCAGAATAAGGAAAAAACAACACAATACAAAGCACGGCATACAGAGTGCCTCTGCAGTGGGAACGGCTCTGGTCTATTTTCAGATTTGAGCAAGACCAGAGTCGGTAGACTGTACTGATGCATGGAGGGTCCAGCATGGCATGACTCTGGAGATATGGAAAAGGGCCCAGTGATAGGCTTTTGAATGATGTTAGATTTTCTCTTAAAAACCAAGGATATTACTTGGGAATTTAAAGCTACAGAGTGGCTC